GTTAATGAGTGTTATAACTACAAAATAAAAAATTGTGATTACAGATGTAATATAATCCCAAATGTTATTGTGTCTACATCCACAACACCTAAAAGTCCTGGGAATGGTAAAAAAGAACATGGAGGTGGCAGTGGAGGTGGCAATGGAGGTGGCAATGGAGGTGGCAATGGAGGTGGCAATGCAGGTGGCAATGGAGGTGGCAGTGGAGGTGGTAATGGAGGTGGCAATGGAGGTGGCAATGGAGGTGGCAATGGAGGTGGCAATGGAGGTGGTAATGGAGGTGGTAATGGAGGTGGCAATGGAGGTGGCGAAAGCGATGAGGATTATCAATACAAAGATGACGAAGATGATCGCAATAACGGCGGTGACGCAGACTTGAAAAATCTTGACGACTTTATATTTTTGGAGAAAGAGATAAATTTTAACTAATATGTAAGTAAATAAGATTATCTGTTTATTATTAGGATGCGATCTGTGGCCTTCAAGTTTATAACACAGTTTAGTACAGATCTATAATAATTGTAATTACATATTTTAGATTTTGTATCTCGTAGTAATAGTAATTATTTATGGTAAAAAAGTGTTATACTACAAAAAAGTCACGCAAGAAAATGCTTTACCCCAAGAGCCCATAGGTTTCTTGGCGACTTATTTGTAATAACACGTGTATGCCATTCAAAACTTTATCCAACGCCTCTTAATTGCTATTTCAAATGCATTAAACATTAAACCTGTCTTTTTTTATATTTCAATAAGTGGAGTATAGTTTACCTCTTTCGCGAATTATACGATACCCTATTTGTTTAAAATCACCATTGTTATTGTTCAATTATGTTGGATAAAAAATAAAACATTTAAAAAATAAAGGAAATTTGAAACTTGCACAATTTTATTAGTGTAATTGCATCTTTGACATACATTCAGATTATATTACTGAAATTCAATATCTTGAAGTGCAGTTGACTATCATTTCACAAGAAGAAGTAAAACCGTTAGCATGACAGGTGCAAGTGTTGCACCCTACTCGCCACTGAGTCCCATTTCTCCCACATCCTGAAAAAAATATTAAAATATTTTTTCTATAACTAGTCAAAGTAAAAGCAAACTACCACCAGTTTTAGAATTCCAAAGTGTGTTTATTTATAGCTGACGTTTAAAAAAATAATTATACAAAAATGACAGTTTCTTTATCATTACTCATTAAGATTCTAGAGTAATCTTATCAAACAATGTGTGTATGGTAAAATACATTTGACAGGTAAAATGTTAAAGTAAATGATGATACCTTTTAACAAAAAATATATGCAAATATATAATTTCAAAAGGTTTCAAAATAACAATAATATTATCAAATAACATTTCTTCTGTATTTTGTTGAATTTAAAAATTTACTTTTTGAGTTCTCCATTATTAATTAAAATGGCCAATTTTCAAATAGAGAACATTATACATTTTTTTAGTTAGTTTGAACAAACTGATCTGAATCTTTGCAAAGAGAAGTTTCTTTTTTTATTTTTTTTTCTTGCGTCATTACAAAAGTACGAGTATTAAAAATATGTAAAAACTATACGCACCTTCTTCTTCAGAAGCCATATTGACAACAATAAAAATACTCAAAACCAAACAGAGAGTAAGGCAAAACTTTAGCTTCGGAAGCAGAAAATACATTTCTTTGGTGCTTCGAAAGTGTCGTACTCAACAACTGCGATAAAACTACAGTACTTGTTATACTAAACAACAATAACAATTTCTGTACATAAAGGCGTGGCCTTAAAATAATTTATGGACGTCAATGAAAATACGTTTTAAAAAATAGGCACCCAGCCAAGATCTTTTATTTTTTCTATTACTAATTTTAAATAAAAACAAATGAATGTATTGTATTAATTTTATTATTAATCTACGTATATTCAAATTGTGGCTTTAAGAGAATGAATGGACATGATGCAATAACATCAGTGTAATTACATGATCTGCTAGTTTCTCATAAAAATAAACTTATCCTTGATTCGATATGAAATCTATTTAAATCAAAACCGTAATTAAAAAGTGTCGTAAATAGGATTTTAATAATACGACATATTCTGGCTTTTATAGGTACAGTGAGTGAGCGACAAAATTATGGAATAATCTTATTTATTAAAACTAAAAATATTTTGTTTTGACAAAAATGGTCGAATATGTCAATATTCTTTTTAAATAAAACAATACACAATTCTCAACTTGATTTAAAGTTGTATATTTGTTTTTTGTTGATATTATTTAACTTTTTGGATGATTTTTTGAAAACTTTATGTACCTAATATTTAATATTTTGGTGTTGTCATTTTAACAATTAAAAGATCTATCAAATTGTCTAAAAAATGGGGTTTCCATTAAAAAAATGTCGATAACATTGTTACTCAAAACCAAAAAGTGTAAAATTTTAAATCAAGTTGCGAATTGTGTATTTTTTAAAAAGAACATGGGCTGTTCGAGCATTTTCTCCAAAACAAAATATTTTCAGTTTTAATAAGATTATTCCAAAATTTAGCCGCTCACTGTATACTAATATTAATAGTTGTTTATTAACGGACTCAATTGTAAAAAGAAATAAACATATAGTTGAAAATTTATTACCAAAATAGATATATCATACAAAAAAATTACAATTGTAATTTTTCGTTAATTAACAAACATAAACAATTAGAGGCAAGCTTTTAGGGTACAAGCAGCATTGGTTCCGTCCTTGTTACAAACGCAAGTGTTACAATCTTTTTTAAATGTAGTTCCAGGTTGACAAACAGTATCTAAAACAAAAACTTAGAATTAGAAAAAAATAAAACATTGAATTACTTCAAGCTTTTGGCCCCACACAACTTTTCAAAGTACAAACAGCGTTTTTCCCATCTAGAGTGCAAGTGCATGTATTACAATCTCTTTGGAAAGTCTCACCAGGAGTGCAAGAAAACGAATCTACAATTTGTTTATGGTGAAATGCAGGTGCGTTCAAAGATTTTTTCCGAATGGTCAAATATACTCACTCACTCAATTTTTTTCTCCCCTTTTTTTGTAAAACAAAGTGTTACTTACTTCTTGTTTTGCGTTCTACGCAGGCTCTCCTTGTGCATGCCCAATGACCGTTGGTACAATGACAGGAGTTGCATTCGACTTTCTTTGTGTCACCGTCTTTGCACTCGGCTGGAAATTATTTTTTATTAAATGGATTAAACAATCAACCTTGAATTATTACACACTGTAAAGAATGCTTTCATTTTTCTTAAAATCACTTAGGGTCAAATGATGGGTCATGTGTAGATAACTTGACCCAATTTAAAATAATTGTACTAAATTCAACTTTTTTGTTGGAAAACTGACAAAATGAAGATTTTTCTCAATCATTCTTTATTCTTACCTTCTTCGGAGACAACATTGGCAATCAGTACACTGAGAACAAGACAGCACAAGATGATAGTCTTCATTTTAATTTCGTGTAGCTTCTTTCAAATAATCACGGAAACTGATAGCTGATGTTTAAAATTGCGATTTTATACTCGCCGTATATCACTTACGATTGATAATTTCTCTGAATTAATGTTAGTATAATCAATTCATTATTGAAATGTTTCTCGTTTCTTCTCAAAACAAATTGTGTCAATATTGGTTTTCTATTACGTGTTAATTGAAACTGGTAATTCCAATACATTTATAGTCTGTCTCAAACTGAGCATTGAATTTATTTATGAAACAAGAACACGTTAATTAATGTAATTATTTGATTTTAATAAGGTTTTATAATGTGAAAAATTGTGAGTTAAAGATGCCAACCGCCAAAACAAGAAACTGATTCAAAATTGAAATTAAAATAAGCTCATTCTGGGACACCTAAATGTAAGATTTCCATAATAATAAACAAAACCCAAGTTATATAATAAATTACGAAGGTTAAACCTGATGACAACGACGTCTACCTAGTAGTTGCAAAATTTTTTTGTCCGTTTACATAAACAATAATGTTGCAATATCTACAATTTGTTCAGATAAGCATATTTTCTTGAAAAACTCTTTGGAAAATACCAAGTAATGTGCTGGTAAAGTCCTGTCTACTATGAAAAACAGCATGAGGTTTGCAATGTTTATATGTTTATTGACATTTTAATAAATAACAACAATTATTGTATAAACAAAATCAAATATTTTTAAAATTATTATTAAATTTATTATA